GTATAAAAGCAACATGTATCGTAGTTGTTAGAATTAGATATGAACAAGTCCTTTTAGATAGTAATTCTCAATTATCATGTCTAATTAGTTATCACATAGTTTTGATCGTTCATAAAATTTGCACTTTATATAGAGTATGTAGTCAAGTGCAAACTCCCCTTTACATCCTTTTGACAAAGTATTCATTCTCTTGTATAATAACTTTATAAAAAGTTATACAAATCTTGAATTAATATATATTATAGTAGCTTAAGCAAGATTGTCAGGAGTGCTATAAAAGTTATCATTTTTATCTGAACACATTGATGAAGTCTATTGAACATTATATTAAATAAAGGAATTATTATTATAATTTATAAATCTGCCTTTGATTTTGTATTGCTAATAATACATTATTCATAAATTTATCTTTGACTTTGTATTGCTAATAATATATTGTTCATATACTTATCTTCAATCTTATATTGCTGATAATACAAATATCATATCTTATATTTGACTCTTAAAGATTTAAAAATATTTTTAATATGTATATTATATTTGACATTGAGATTTTGAGAACTCTCTTTAGCAGTCCAGTTATTGCGTTAAAAGAACACAATTATTATTAATCTTTAAGTGATTCTTATAAGTACTTATTGTATTTTGATTTATATTTAGTCTAAAGTCATAAAGTATTATTAAGACTATGAATTGTCATTAAGATATTCAAGTTTTTTCTTTAAATATCATAAATACTCTTGAGTATTTCAAAGTCTCATTAAAACAGTAACAATATGATTATAGATAATTATAACAAAAAAATTAAAAAATAAAAAGAATAATTGTAACAAGAGTGAAAAATAAAATAAAATAAATATAAATATAATTAATTAAAAATAATAAAATTAAAGATAAAACAAGTATAATAGAGATATAGATAAGATAAATCAATAATAAAAATATAAATTTTATAATAAAAAATATAAAAATAAATAAATTTAATAAAACAATAAAAGAAAATAAAACAAAAAGTATACAAAAATTAGACATTATAATTTAATATCAAAAAAAATAATGATATATATTAAATATAATTATGTAATAAAATACAATATAAAAATAAATGAGCAAATTAATTTGATTATTATTGAGTTACATGATGTTATATTAATTTACTTTATAATATATTTTAATTTTTGTTGACCAAAAATTAAGTAATTACAAAATTTTTAATAAGAATAGTAATATTATTCTATTACTTTTTTAAGTTAAAATGATTAATATTTTAGATAATATAATTCTTGTTTTGATAATTATAAATTATCTTTTTGTACATGAGTTTATTTTCATATACTTATAAATTATATATTATCATGATATGATATTTGACAAACAATTTTATTGAATAATGAAAATATTAATTATTATTAAATTATATTTATTAGTATTTCTATTAAATAATTATTTTTAGTTAGCTATTATTTTATTGAACAATTATATCTTAAATATTATTAGTTTTTAAATTTGTATTAATACTAACAATACTAACAATATCAGTAATACTAGCAATACTAATAACACTTGTGTTAATAACAATAATGACATTAATATTTGTATTAATATTAAAAATACTAATAATATTTATATTCAATTAAATTAGTGACAATTAAAATTCTGAAATAAAGTTTAGTTTAGTTCGAGCTTGAACTGAACTTAAACCTGATCAAAAATTCAGTTTGAAAATTTAAACCTAATTAAAAATCTGGTTTGAGTTTGATTTGAACTTCAAATTAGACTTGAACCTGACCAAAAGTTCAATTCAAATTCAAGTAAATATTTGTTGATATTCTAAGTAAAGTTGTAAATCTTAACATAAGTTACAAATTAGTTAATATTTAAAATAAATATTTAAGAAGTTACATGAATTTAAAAAATAATTTTAATTATTATAATTTTAATCTATTTTAATTTTAGTATACTAAATATTTATTTTTTTATAATAATCATAAACTATGATTATAAGTAAAATTATAGTCAGAAATAAGAGTTACAAATTAGTATAAGATAATAATAATTATTTAGAGAGTTATATAGTATTTACAATCAAATTTAATAAATGTAAAAAAAATACTTTAGTTATTACTATGTAAACTTTTAATTCTTACTAAATATTATAAATTGTGCTTATAAGTAAAGTTGTAGCTTATATTTAGAGCTATAAATCAGTATATGATACTATATGTCAATTTTTAATTGAACTTGAACCAAACTCAAACTTGTATAATGATTCAGTTTGAATTTAGTTTGAACTTTGAACCTTTCTTGAACTCAAGTCAAAGTTCAGTTCGAGTTTAGTTCGAATTTAGTTTGAACTTTGAACCTTTCTTGAACTCAAGTCAAAGTTCAGTTCGAGTTTAGTTCGAATTTTGAACTGAACTTAAATTCAAAGGGTGAGATTCGCGTAATCATTTTCATTGGCTAATCATTATTAATAAGACTGAGTCATGTGCAACTTTGAATTTATAAACATCAGTTCCAATAGTTCTAATACAAGAAACGTTCATGGTAATGAAACGAAGTGGAAAAAACACAGAAAAGTCAACTGGTGACAGTGTTGGCGGGAATAGCCTTGGTGTAAAAAGAAAGAGCGAGGCCGAGGGTAGTCGTGTAACTGGTAATAATAATACTAATGATACTATTAATAATGCTAACAACAAAGCCAGTACACAAAATAAAATAAACAAGAAACAAAAACTAAATAACGAGGAAGCAAAGAAAATTGCGAAAAAAATACTTGGCGCAAACATAAGATTATTGCAAATAGAAAAGCAACTGAATAATAATATGGCGAGTAGCAGCAAAGGAATGGCCAAGTTGCGGCAAGAAATGTCTGAGCAATTTCTCACTCGTATAAGCAAATCAAATTCTAATTTAGTCAAAGGTGCAAATACTCATGATGATGGTCAACAGGGAATTGCAGGTATCAGTCCCCACAAATTCTAATTCTTCAGAATTAAAGCGAATACTTAATATTATTAATGACAAAATAACGAAGCTAATGAAAGTAATGAGAAAGGAGGTGGAAATAACAAAAAAGACAACAAAACCACCAAGTCACAACGAAGACGAATGAGAAAAAAAAGAACTAAGCAACAAAAAGAATTAAAGCGCGCGGATGCTCTTTTGAAAAAATCAGATGGTGATAATCCAATTAAGAAACGTTTAGAATCTGTTTGGTCTATGTTTGGAAATAACTCTTCAAAACAAAATACGGTATCAGTTTATTGTATATTTATTTGAACCATTAATTTATTATTTCGAGAATTATCTTTGTTTTTAATTTATGTTTGTTTCTAATTATTTCGTCAATTATAGAATTCAGAGCAGAACAAAAATGTGGTTGAGAATATGGTTAATGGTAAACCTTTTCGACCAAAGATCCCCAAACAATTATCCGAAGGAAGATTCCGATGGATAAATGAGCAACTTTACACCGTTACTGGGACATCAGCACATCAACTATTCCAAGAGAATCCATTATTGTTTGAAGAGGTATCTTATTACACATCTCTCACTATCTACTATTTTTAATTAATCTCGTAAATTTCCGATACTTACGACAATTTTTTTAAAAAAGTATCACGAAGGTTTTCGATCCGTCGTCGAAGCGTGGCCAGTAAACCCCGTTGACGTTCTTATCAGGTATCTAAAAGGAAAATCTGCCGACATTGTGGTAGCAGATCTTGGATGCGGTGAAGCGAAATTAGCAAAAGCGGTACCGAATAAAGTACTTTCTTTTGATTTGGTTGCAAATAATGATCGAGTGATTGGATGTGATATTGCCAAGGTATGAATGAATCATGCGTGTATTTTATTATTATCTCTTGGCGATAATCATAAATTTATAATTGTTAATTGTTATTCTTATTAGCTACCAGTTCCGGATTCTTTCTTTGATATTGCAATCTTTTGCTTATCGTTGATGGGTACCAATTATATTGATTACTTGAAGGAAGCTTATCGTACTTTAAAAACAAGGTATGAAAATGAAAAATATTTTTATTGTTTGATAATTATTTACTCTGATACACGAAATTTTTATTTTTTGAAAAAATTAGCGGTGAGCTGAAAATCGCAGAAGTGGTTAGTCGGTTTACCGATATTAACGCGTTTATCGAGTTGTTGCATGACATTGGATTTAAATTGACCAACAAGGTAAATCAATGATTAATAAAATTATTTAAGCCAATATTAATATTCCTATTATATAAACAAATATCTATATAGGACGATTCCAACAAAATGTTTGTCATGTTGAATTTCGTCAAAAATCCACTCACTTTCCCTGAAAGAGCCAAGTTGAAACTTAAGTCACGAGTGAATGATGCCACCAAATTATTGAAACCATGTGTTTATAAAAAACGCTAAAATCAACAATAATTATTCTGGTAATGTTGGTAGCTTTATTCAAATCATCATTTGCTTATTATCAAATACTACCAACAATGTAATGAATGAATGAATGTCTGTCAATTATAATAAAGTTTTATATGAAAAACGACGTTTGTTGTATGTGAAAGATACACGTAGTTTTGTTACTTAAATCAGCATTTCTGAGTATCCTTAGCATAAAAGATTTCCCGTCGCACATATGACATATTATACACTCCAACTGTTAATAATAAAGGGAAAAAATTCATTTTATGCGATACTTATTTATAATGAATGTTGCCATTGTCGGATGTTATTTGCAACGTTATATATGTTAACAACAAAATCAGGTGTAATTTTCAATCGCATGCTCTCTAGGCTTTATTCTTTTTGGTTCATTTTCAAGACCATTACCCTGGCCGCGGCAAAAAGTGTCTGGTCATATGATTCCGATACCAATCATCCGACATCCCCTTAAATTATCATAATCATAATCCTTAATTATGATGAGGGCGAGGGTAGAGCTGGATCTTAGGTGATACATAATTAAGCATTTTTGATTGGTTATATAATATCTTATCTGGAGGTGGGGGGGGGGGTGAACACTTATCAAAATGATATTAGGTAATAAATGTCGGTGCCCTAATATTAAATTTTTTTAATTTTCGACAGATTAAATAATATTTCAATAATAGAAATGTCACCGCAAAGTGATCTGCGTTACAAACTGTAATGGGCTTGTTACTATGTAAATGATAACCACTTAGTAACTTCGGTGAGGATATGACTTTTGATGAATTATCTAAAAAACTTGCAAAATTGAGTTAATTCGGATGGCTAGAGTGAAAAGAAATACAAGTGGATCTCATAATTATTAAACAAGACAAGGTCGTCTATTCCTATTTTTATTTAATAAAATTTAATCCTGTCGTGTAACATATTGGCATGATCAACTAAAATCTGACATAATATCGATATACAAAAATTCTTTTTCCAAGCTTTTTCTACTTTACCACCTGCAGAGTTAACTATATGATGGCTTCCTCTAAACATTGCCAGCTGTATGTAGGTTCTAATTTGTTGGCATGCCTCTCTTCTTATCTTGATAATCATTGTTGTTAGATCGATTCAGAGAGAGATTAACAAAGCCTATGAAGACTGGTGTTGCGCGCAAGAAAAGAAAGTTTCAAATGCACCGTGAAATTAAATCCTGAACCTCTCCAGGTATAATGGTATCCATTTTTTGTCTTTAATATGGACCGAGTATCTTTGGTAAGCTCACAACTTAAAGGTGTATGTATTTGTATTTTCAGGTAAAGTGCTGTTAAAGCCAATCAAAATAAATCCGTTTCATCTTGGACACCTGATGATGTTATGTCAATCGCTAAACTTCTTGCTGGAAGAATTGCAATAGATGGAGCAGGTGATAATTTCGAAGGTGCTTGTTCTCTCACAAATATTAGTCAAGGCTTAAGCATCTTCATCTCTAAGCACCCTAATATTTGTGAGATCATTGACCCGATCTATATTGTTGCTGATATTGGTGGGCAACAAATGCCTGCATTCCAACTTAACAATTACCCACCAGTTGGTTCTCCACTTCCTGCATTGGCTCCTCTTATGGGGTCTAACTATATTTGGGTATTTAATGGGGCAAACGGAACGAATCGTGCACATAATCTTATGAGTTGGATTCAAGCTCGAATACAAGGTCTCAGGATGTTCATGTTCCAGCAGTATATTTCTGACAAAATTATCCATTATAAAACTTGTACCTTAAGAAAACTTGGTCATAATTGAGATTTTTTAGCGAACAGATTATTTGGACCAGTTAACTATTTAAAAAATAAAAGAATACTTTGCAAATTGTTTGAGTGATCGATAATATTTCAAGATTAATTGACACTGTTCTTGATATACCCAATTTTTTTAGCATTACGATATACTCAATTTTTACCTAAAAAATACTAATACGTTAGTGATTTGTTTTCTTGCGCGTTAATAACACTCTTAAATATATATTTTCACAATGTCTACCTTAGCGTTAGTATCTAAAATCGAAAATCTTTTATTAACTTGCAGTTTGTGGTGCAAGCGTGGTTTATTTGGCAGTGAATGGCATCAATGTGGGCAAATATGTGGGTATCAGAGCTTTAGTGGATCATGCTGTGAATTCAGCATTGATAAAAATAATCGATAATGAACGGAAAATGAAAACCACTGGTTAGTAACGAATAAATTGGGTTTTATCTCTACATAAACTGATGAGACTACAGCAGATTTTTAGTTATCAACCTAAACAACTTATGCCTGAGGATAGAGGTTGGAACTTGATTTATTTTTTAAATTCAGATTTATTTAATTAATATTTGATTTAATCCAGTTTTAATATATATATATTCGATTCCTTTGGTTTAGATTCGACAAACCAATTCTATCGCTAATTATTAATAAAAAACATGTATCGATAAAACATAAAAAAAAGACATGAAAGTTCACATTGTCGAGCTTTGCTATATCGAGTTGTTATTTTGTGTTTGTTCTAATTTGAAAATAAACTGTTTTAATTACGTACCGTATTTCACCGCATAAAGTACCCTCCCTTGTAGAAAATTTAACCTTAATTAGTCGAATTTGTTTAGTAAAACCAATTATGTTGTCTGCAAAATGAATAAACCAAAATTCACGGTGCAATTTCTTCAAAAAAGTTTGTTACTAAATTAATAGCTTTGAGTTAAATTTAGGTTTAAATTTTCTACAGGGGAGGGTACTTTATGCGGTGAAATACGGTACTTTGTACATGAAGAAAATTTAAAAAAATTTAAACCTCAATTTAACCTCAAGCCTATTAAACCAGTAACTAATTTTTTTAAAAAATCACATATATAGTTTAATTATTTGCGGAAAAATAATTGGATTTACTAAAAAAAAATTGGACTAAATTGTGATTCAAATTTTTACAAGAGGAACTATACAGAGCGCTTTATGGCAATAAATAAATTTTATATCTTAAATATATTATCTCATTGTCGTTATTCGCATTTAAATGTTTTCAATAATTATGTACAGTTATACCATGCTTTTCTCGTAAATGACCAGATGTATTCGAAGTTGAAACTTCTTTTCAGCTATAAAGATAAGATTTTTTATTGGTACCTGCGAGGTTTTGTTCACATAATATACAGTAGGCTATATCATTATTATGAGGAACTTTGCGAAGAAAAAAATAGATGGTATGTATCCATGTCTACTTTGGTTGAGAAGTTGTATCTATTTTAACTTTTAAGCCAGGGTAAAGGTAGGAAATTTTGGTGAACAGGTTACCAGCTTGTTGTAGAATCTCTTCTGGAATTTGTTCATCAATTAAGAGTATGTAAAGTTGTGACATGTTGGATAATTTTATGAATATTAAATGAATGTAATAAAATAGATTATTATTATTATTTTTGTTGTTGTTATTATTATTATTATTATTATTTGAAATGCTGCAGTGTAATCCTGCTTAAATTGTTAACTAATCTAAGATACAAGGTAAATTAATAACTAGCTATGATACAATTAAGCCTTCAAGAAAAACGAAAAATGAAAAACTACAAAGTGACTAGCCACTGTGACCGGTCCAGAATTAGACTACGGCTGATTTTATAATGAGGATGTCTGAGTTATTTTTTAATTGCAAATGATTCGATAAAGCTAAAATGCTATGTAGTTTGATGAGACCCTCTTTGGGGCAGATGTCATTGATATGTGCTGAGGTTGGGAAGCCACAAGAGCATAGGTTGGGATCAGAGTGAATTTTGACGATGGTATTATTATTATTATTATTATTATTATTATTATTATTATTATTATTATTTTATTGCTTGCTTGCAATTGTTCTTGTTTTGCTTGCTAGTTACTAAATTTTAAAGGGGATATATATATAAAAATTAAAAAAGATCTTTTTAGCAAAAGAAATTTAGAGCAAAAAAAAAGAAATCTTTAATGTTTCACTTAATATTAAAAATTATCTAAAAAGAAAATTTTAAGAGATTAATTTTCTATACAAATGATTCAGATCTACAAATTTTCTTGTGAGACCAAAATTTTGTGACTTCATGATCTCTAAGTCACCATAAAGTGAGCTGGTTACCATGTTAAGCTACCATGTAATTGTGTTCAGTTGCATGATCTGTGTGATGTCATCATCATGCCAGGGATTTGTATTTTGATTGGCTAGATAGAATTCATTTTCTCTTTTTTTACTTTTTTCTAAAGATGGCGCAGCAACTATTGCAATGTGATGACAAATAAAGCATCACCTAGTTGCAACTAATTGCGACTTATAAAATTTTGGAGTTGCAACGTGTTGCAACAGGTGACAAATAAGTGTCACGTACTTGCTGCGCCATCTCTACTTTCTTCTATGTTATTGCCAATTCTTTGCTGTAAAGACTGTACATTTTCTAAATTGGCTTTTATTCTCTTATTTTTGAGTGAACAGCCATTTTTATAATCTTCTCTATTCCATTTTCTATAAGGAAAATGTACTCGCTCATCACGTATTTCATTTGGTAAAGTATTGCAATTATATCATTATTTTTTGGAAATTTGTGAGTTTTCAAGTAGTGATTTTGGTGAATCTATGACTTTTTTTGCCTTTTTTATGTTGATGAGTATTGCTATTATTGTATTCTAGTTTATTTTTACGTGAAATGATAGTAATTTCTGGAATTTCGCATTTTTTTTGAAGAAATGCTGTTTTGTTATTTCTTTATAGTTCACGACAATGTTACAATCAGGCTTCTGGTAGGTATAATCATGACGTAGATATTCAACCAACGTCTTGATGATGATATTTTTACGGTTACTCAATCTTGTTGTAATAAGTATACTTTGGGATCATCACGCAGTGCGTTTTCTTCTATCTTATAGATAAACTCTCACTATTACTAATAAATATTATATCTACTTAGTGTGGAATAGTCCTATAGTAATACAGTACTGATATTCTATAGCAACTTTGACAGTTATCCAATAGTACATAATAAATACAAGTATTTTAATAAGTTATTTTTCAATTAATTAAATGTACAAATTTCATTAACAATAAACAAGAAACAGTTTATTAACTAGTTAAATTTTTATATTGATCAATTGATATCTTTTTCAAGGCTTCAATTGTACTTTATTTATATTAAATATTTTCCATTAATTAATATTATATTTTTGACTTGTTTATCAAAAATTATAAAATTAACAAATATTGAATAATTCAAATAATTCATATATAAAATATATATAAATAATATAGAAATTATAAATAATATAGAAATTATAAAATAATATAGAAATTATAAAATTACAGAATTTATGGAAATTATAAGAATTTCTAATCATAACAATGATGATTTCTGTTTGGCTAGATTTTAGATCACCAGCATTAGTCATTTCTCTCATCGTTGAAAGCAAGAGAGAGTTGAAATAATGTGTCTTCTTGATCTTTATTAACTTCTTCTTTTCTTTTTGTAGTTTTTCTGTTACTGTCACTGATGTTATCATCTTTGTCAATATTATTATTTGTTATTATTATTATCCAGGGAATGCTGGTTGTATCCCAGTCATCATCCTTTATGTGATTGTCATTCTGTAAAATCTGCTGAAAGATCTCTTGTTATTCTTTTAACTCACTTTGCTTTTTGTAGCTTTCTTGATCATCTGACCAGAGTCTGAAAGATCCAGTGATCTCGTAACTGTGATTCTGACTGAATTCAGACTAAAGATGATGCGATAACTGTTGCAACGTGATGACAAATAAATTATCACCTAGTTGCAACTAGTTGCGGCTTATAAAATTTTGGAGTTGCAATGTGTTGCAACAGGTGACAAATAAGTATCACATACTTGCTGCGCCATCTCTAATTCAGACTGAATTCTGAGATCACTTCTGAATCGGTCATATGTTTTTGGTCAGAGTTACTATTTTCGGATGGAGATGCTGGGATCATTGTAAGTTTTTCAGGATACAATAAGACTTCTTCATCTTGTAGAGAAATATTTTTCCAGCTACAAAAAGGATGATATAGGTCTACCTCTTTATTATAATAATATTCAGAATAATAGTGAGGATAGTCTTCTCTTACTAGAAGTAAATTTATCTTTTTCTTCATCATTTACAATATTTTCTTCTTCTTCTTCATCTTACAGTTGAATAATAAGTTTCTCTTCTTTTCTATCTTCACATTTACTACAATTTTAATGATCTAGGTGATATCTATTTCTACACCAATGGCAAAAACAATTTTTTAGACTATATTTTCTATTAAAGTGTTTTTTCTCAGCTGCATCTTCATATTTAATTATTTTTAGTACTTCAACACAATCCCAACATTTATATTCTCTATGAGGTGAATCTCTTCAATAATTTGAATTATAAATATGTGAAATTCTAGAGCATTGTGATAAAATGATTCTTTGTGGATACTTGAATTTGAGATAGTGATAATTTTCAAATAAAATCATTTTGAAAGTTGTGATTCTTGTCCTAGTAATGGTAACGTAAGATTTAATCAATCCCATAAGCTTAATTTAATAACTTTGCAGTCAGATTGATTAACCTTCTATAAGAATGTATGATTCTGATAATGGTCTTTGGTGATATAATTTTAGTCTTTCATTATTAACTGATATTTTCAAAATTTTTTTATCTAGTATATTTAATTTGTATGTGTTATTTTCAAGTATATCATAAATGTAATATAGTTTTTTCCATCTATCTTCCAGTTTTCTTTTGTCTCTTAGATAACTTTTAAAAAGTATGATTTGTTCTTTAATTTTGAATATGTGAATTTCTTTTATTTTTGTATTGTATCATTATTCTTATTATTGTTGAGATTTAATAACATTTTCTTTTGCTTTAAGTCTATTTCTTTTTAGTTGTGTAATTAATTTATGTATTCTTTCTAATAGAATATTAACTTTATCTTTTTCTTTTGTTATTATATTATCACAGTCAATAGGCAATATTACTTTTCTTCTATAAGTCAAGTAAAATGGCTCAAACTTTATGAGGTTATGTTACATGTTTCTATATGCAAATAGAACAGATGGTATATATAGATTTCAACCATCTTTTTCTTCATTTGCATACTTAACCAATGCTTTATATAATATTCTATTAAAGTATTCTACTAGTTCATTGATTTGTAAATAATATGCTGTTGACAAACTATGCTTGATTCGAAGTTGT